TATATAATTTTAATTTGCATATATAACTGAGTAGCAATCCTCCTAAATGGGCAGTTCATACTTCTTTCTAATCGCTCAGATTAACCTTCTCTGTTGTGAACAATATAGAACAGGGCTCAAAATTTCAAGTCCTAAGTTACTAGCCAGGCCTTAATAGTTACTTGCCACAAGTTGTCCCACTAACCCCAACCCTGCCCCGGCCGTAACTCCGTCAGGTCAGCGGTGTGACGCAGAGTACAGAGATCAGTAACAACGCCGAGTACAGAGACCGGCGGTGCGATACACAGTACAGAGACCGGCGATGTGATGCACAGTACAGAGATCGGTGGTGTGATGCACAGTACAGAGACCTGCGGTGTGATGCACAGTACAGAGACCGGCGGTGTGATGCACAGTACAGAGACCGGCGGTGTGATGCACAGTACAGAGACCTAGTAGCGTAACCAGAGTAACCGGCGCCCGGGACAGGACAAACTCTTGCGCCCCCCCATGATATGTGCGGGAGTACAGGTAAAATGAGAGCATGCTGGGACATGTCGTAATTGAACTACAAGTTCCATCATGCCCTCATTGTCCCTGTACGCCAGCCAATTATGACCCAGAGAATAGTAACAAGCTGATTGGCAGGCTCCTGTCCTCCTTCTATGCAGTGGAGCCCGGGTCCCTGTAGGGAAGGAGCCTGCCAATCAACTGGTTATCATGGCAAGTGGACCGTGATTTACTTTTTAATCACCTTTTAATTTAAATTTAAGAATGTTTTTATTATTTTGTATTTATTTTTAAAAATTGTATTTAATTATTTTTTTTAACAATTTGTTTTCACTTAACTCTATCGCTATCACACAGGAGCTAACAATCCCCTGTGTGATAGCATTTGGAGGTGACAGGTTCTATTTATTGAACCTGTCACCTCCAATACAGGAGTTCTAGCACAGCACTGTGCTAAAACTTCTGTGACAGGTGAGGGGGAAGATGGCTCTCCCCCCTCACTTGGCAGAGGACGGAGCAGCGAGGAGAGAGGCAAGTGAAGGGGGGGGTGGCAGGGGGAGGAGGACAGGCGGATGCTTTTCCTCGGCCGCTCTGTAGCGGCAGTGACCGAGGAGAGAGAACTGACACAGCGATCGCCGCTGTAGAAGCGGCAGCAGTTCCCCCCTGAATTTTCACTCGCCCCCACGCAATTTTCACTCGCCAATTGCGAGGGGGCGAGTGGAAATTTTGAGCCCTGATATAGAACATTGTGTAAACAGAGTTCTAGTATCAGAGGAAATTAAAAACTAAATATAATATATGATGTTCGATCAAACTTAGCCCTGTACTATGGATCATTTAACCCATTCATGTTAGCAGAGGATCATTGTAAATGTATTGTTGCAGGCACTCTATATGTACATGTACTATATACTACATATAGAGTGCACTGAACAATAGATTTACAATTATCCTCTGCTAATATGAATGGGTTAAATGATCCGTAGTACATGATATGTAGCCCTGTACCCCCTTTTCCACTTACAGAGCTAGGTTATTTTTCTTTTAAATAAATATTAATGTATTTTAATGGTATCTATCTACCAGTAGCTGCCTCATTTCCCACCCTCGGCTTATATTCGGGTCAATACTTTTTCCCAGTTTTTTTTGCTAAAATTAGGTACCTCGGCTTATATTTGGGACGGCTTATACTCGAGTATATACGGTATGTAAGAGGTAATAGGGTGCATTTAATGCATTATATAAAGAATCCAGCTGATAAAAGTTAGATCAGGAAATTATTATCTATTATGTCTATTGGTACTCTCAGGCTGGCCAAACACGTGGAAATTAATTTGAGTAATCAAAATTATGATTTAATTTAATTTAAATCATAAAGACATAAATTGGTGGTTTGAGTTGAGTGTAAGAAGGTGGGATCAATTTACCTTTGTCGAACACGGCAAAAACAAAATACAATACATTTATTACATGACTGCCATATTATTTCCCATTTCAATTTCATTTTCATTAAAATCACAATTTTCCAACTTTATTGAAGCTGACAAGTTATTGGCAAGTTTGACTTCACTATTGACTGAATTCTGGTTGGTGATCAAACTTGTGTGTGGTAGAATGCTTAGTTTTTTTTAGAGGCTTACTCTCTATCATATCTTTGATACCCACTGGGACAAAACTGGTTAAAACTGATTTTAAAGTGTATGTCCACATTTGCAGCCAAATTGGGATAACACCTATTTTATATCAGTTACATGTTCTCATTCACATTGCATAAACTAAAAAAAAATACTTTAAAATGCTTTTTACATTTTAAATTGTTTTTACTTGGGTTAGGGTTTCCTAAGGATTAAAATTTCAGTTGCTTCTCCTATTTATGGTAAGGAGGGGCTGTGGGGGTGATGGGTTTGTTTATTATAATTTGTAAAGTAGATTTGAACACTGCCTGTCCCAATAAAGGATTACAAGATTTAAACCCTAGCTTCTGCAATGTTTGGTAATAAAGTTAAGGAGAGAAAGACAGGTATGGATTTTCCTTACAATCTCTATTGTTCCTCGGAGATGATGGTTAACATTGAGAATATCTTGTCAGATAATAAACATACAGTACATGAAAAATGATTGTGCATGTTTTTACCAGCAAAATCCTTTATTGGTCAGATTGTAAAACCATTAATAATTGTTTATGGCAGGTTAAAGTGGAAGCAAAGTTGTTACAAAAAAACTTGCCAACTGGCAGGCTTTCTATGACAAAATAGATTGTTTAAATCTCTTATGCCATAAAAGAATTTCCCTGCCATTCAGCAATTTTCTTTCTGTACACTGAGCTGTGCATGAGCAGGTCAGCGCACAGATCCAGCGTACCAGGATGAAGTAACTCCAGTTTGCAAGCACGGGAGTTCCGTCATCCGGACCCAGCCAATCAAGTGGCTGAAGACTTGAAACCTGGAAGAAGATCTGGGCAAAGATGTAAGTGCTGGCAAGGGAGAAGTGCAGTGTTGGAGGGGATTGGTTTGGCAGCTTGGTCATATTAGCACATTATGTCTAAAAGCCCTTTTTTTCGCTTTACTTCCGCTTTAAGTCTTTCACAAATTTGTTAGACACTGTTAAGGTGTCTTCTGTCCAAACATGGTCTTGTTATTTGAGCATATATTAGGAGCCCTTGTGTTTTAAGAATAGCACATATTTGTTCAGCAGATATGTTAATGTGCCTTCAGACATTGTACAAGACCAGTTTTTTCAATTATGGGGCATGCAAAGGATTCCCTGACTGTTAAAGATATTATATGTATTTGCTTGAATATCTCAGTCAGACTGCTAGGTGGGAAAGTATATAAATATAAACCTGTTGATGTCATACTTGAATAGCTGTTTCTATTTCTCCTTGCACAGACTGGCTTTAGTGATCTGAATGCAGGTGTGTACTCAAAGAATTAGACCTTCTACCGTGCTAAGTAGCACTACTTGTGACCAATGATGCAAAATCTAAATACTGTATAAGAAAGTAAAGAAATATGTATCAAAGCAACCAAAATAGATTAAGGAATGCAATACTTGAACTTAAAGATAGTGCCCCTTTTTTTTTAGATTGTGGCCTTATGCAGAGAGGGATACCATTTTATATTGCATTGTAGATGAACGATAGAAAATAAAGTCACTAAGAAAAGCATACACTGACTGACCATGGAAATATCCACTGGTTCCCATAGTATGGGAAGTACATCAGCATTCAAAATATCATGCTGAGACAATGGGAACCAAAAGGCCGTTCTTGATGGATTCTTTGGAAGTCAACTTCAATTCCCAACACAATGTTTGATATTTAGTACTGCTCGACAAGGAAGAGTCTGCCAGAGAAATGTCTTAATTTACTAATAGTGTAGAAAACATCTGGAACATTCTTTACTTTTCTTTTCGTCTGAGCTACTGGATCACATGTCCTGGCTACCATACCTCATGTCAACATCTGCAATGCTATAAACATAACATTTCACAAGCTATGAGAACTGGATGGGAATCATTGCTTGTTTCAACAAAAATATTAAAGTAGATGTAATTCCTAACTGGATGACATTTACTTTTCTGAAGCACTTTTTTTAGATGCTTCCTGCATACATGCACTTGCTCCAACATTGGCAGGAAGTCACTACGAAATCTGTACTCTATGCCATGGGCGTGCAAGACAGGGTGACAGCACAGGAACAACATTGGTAGACAGATATCCCTCCATAGCAAGAAGTACCTGGACAAGGTTCCTCGTGGCAGTATCACCAGGGATTCTTTTAACGAACGCTGCCGATATTATGAGATTGAAAACGACTTTTGAATCTACATTAACATATTAAAGCTTATATTAGATTTTAGTGACTTGGTTTAGATTGACTTTAAATATTTTCTGCTTTAACATCTGAGCAGGTAGACCCCAATTTTAGGCATTTTAAGAAGTTTAATGCACTAAGGATTTATGGAAGTAAGGTTAGCTTTGTCTTTTTAGTCCACAGCTAAGCCTTTTTCTAATCTGTGATACATCCACTGTTGATTGGAGTGCAGCAGGACTGGCAGAAAGTGTTAACTGAAAGTACGAATTTAGGAAGAAAACAGCAAATTTAAGGCAACATCATTGGCTAACCTTCTTGGAAGGGTTAATTGCACCTATATCTGGAACAGGATGAGCCTTTTCTGAACAAGTCTTTCAAACATTACATTTTTCGACTAGTGTGCATTACTAAAGGGTGTGATATTGAAACATGTATTATTTGAAGTATACTTAAACCAAAAAAAGAATAACTCTTTCTGAAGCAACAAAATGTCTGCCTGATATACAATGATATTCAGTGTTCGGGGATTACATGGAAGTGGATGGTAGACAGTTTCGGTTCAGATGTTTTACTGTCTTATACAAATTCTCCTCTATAAATGCTTGCAGCTTGTTTATTTTTTATGCTGGTATTTACCTGTCAGTAATATATATATAATTCATTAATTTGTTCACTGCTATGTTAGAAAAAACTTACCCCAGGCCGTTTCCACTCTATACTGTGTGGGGGAGCTTTGCTGTAGAACAAGGACTCATCAGCTGCTGGGAACTCTGGATCTTCAAACAACCTTCCTCCTTTCACACATTCTTTTTTTAATTCCAAAAAGTCTTGATTCTTAAAGGGTCTAACTGCAGGAGTCATTTTTTACACTAAAAAATAAAACAATGTAAGATTACATGTAAACTATTTCCCTATAAATCAAAGCATGCGTGTATGTACAGTATAATTTCAATAACAAGAAGAATACAAAATCTGTGCTTTCTTTAGAAGTGGGCCTACCTTTCTAGAACATGTGTAATAACACATACACTGTCTTATGTGTAACAATCTTCCTAATTATACAATAGAAAACACAGCAAAGGACAATGTATCATGCACCATCATATACCTATGAAGTTAGGAGGTAAACACAACATTTGGCTTGTGTACATCACTGCATGTGACATCTAGGGGCTGATTTACGAAGCCCAACACGCACACACGCAGGCTGCGTGCGCGTTTTTATGTATTTACTTACGCGCGTGTCGTGTAATATGCGCCATCGGCTGCACGCCACTATAATAAAAAATTGCAAGTGCTAGAATCATATTTCTACTACTGCCATACATGTGCAAATCATACATATGATACATATGTTATTGCTATGCTTCTATGCATACAAACATTCTACATAACACTTACAAACTGGTAAAAGACAGTATTCTAAAATAAGGTACTTACACACCAGGTACTTCGTAATTCTAGCAAACACGCGCACATGGCGGATAAATTTATGAGGTTAGTAAATCAACCCCCTAGAGTTGCAATCCATTTGCCAGCCAGAGCATTCCAGGTTGCTAAAAGCTGGACAGGGAGAAGTGTATGGTCCTTATATATCTCCGCCCCCTGCTCTTGGCAACCTGGCCAGAAAGCAGGTGGGAGGCACACTGCAAACATTGCCCCCAACGTAACCTAAAGAGATGCCATCTGAGGCAACAGCCCCAATAAAGGGATGACCATGGTTCCTGCAATCAAATCTTTATCAAATTCCTATGAAATGAAATGCTATTGGGTTTTTTGTCCTTACTTTTAACTTTTCATCTGTTACAAATAAAAAAAAGGCTAGGGACCCCCCCCCCCCCCCCCCCCACATCCAACACCAGACCCTTCACGGCTCAGTAGTGGAGTGCATCGCTAACAGTAATACTGTAGTAACTCGTGTAAAGAGAAAGCCAGCACTCACCAAAAAACCCCTAAAGCTTTTAATGAGGTCAAAGTAGAACAATCATATAGTGGAAGCAAGAACACCACCTGTATTATGCTTGATTCCACTATATAATTATTCTACTTTACCCACACTAGGCATGTAGACTGGTGTCCGCATTACTGGAGTATTGGAAGCACATGGATCATGTGCTTGACAGATACTAAACTGTATGGTCTTTAGCACTACGTAGGTAGGTTCAAAGGAGACCCTCAGCCGAGGGCTGTTGGGTGGCGGGTTCTTATGTATCATCAGGGCTCTAGAAGGTAAAGAGTAGGGTTGCACAGATACCAAGTACAGTACTCGGTACAAGTACCGATACTTTTGAGCTCCAAGACTAGACAAAAATTATTCAAAAATTAGGAGGCAGCTGTCATTTGTAAGGAGCACACGAAGCTCCTGTGATTTGTACATCTCTGTTTTAATGTATGATTTTGTTTTTATAAATATAAATAAAGGGATGCACAGATACCAGTATGAGTACTGGTACCTGCCGAGTACTGATACATTTTTGTTTATTGTCATGTGACAGTTTTTCTAAAACAATACAGACTAATGATTTCAGGACAGTGGTGGGACACCAGAGCCAGGTCCCAGCTGCAACCGCTACAACCCTGGTAGTTCTCATGAAAATGCCAAGTATCTGCACTGGTACTCGAAAAGTATCTGTGCATCCCTAGTAAAGAGGGAGTGTTTTATGCAGCTAGGCTGACTTTATTTTGTAACAAATACCATATAAATACAGACAGGCAGAGGCGGCTCTAGAGTTTGCGAGGCCTTAGGCGAAACCTAAACATGAGGCCCCACTCAGGCCTGTGGTGTCTCACCAGGGCTCTGTGGGGTCTCACCAGTCTGGTGAGACCCCACAGAGCCCTAACAGGATATTTATAATTTAGGTAAAAGTTGAACAATTTGGTCCTAGTGACATCCATCTAATTTTAATAGTAGTGCTATTGTTAGGCTCCCTCTTTAATAAAATGCAGCAGTCTTGCTGTTCTGTAAGCAAATCCATGAATAGTGCAGACAGTTTGATTGAATCTGATTGTAATCACCAGCACAGCATGTTTGCCTCTCAACTGAAAATCAAAAGTAAGATCTGTGACCAGAAAAACCCTGCTGGACTCCGGCTATGCACAGAATGCAAGCTCATTACTGGACAATGAGATGTTTTTTTAATAATTATTTTTTAAGCTCACTAGTTAACCATTGCTGTAATATTTACCTGATGATAATATATGACATACACTTAAATAGAACATGTGTAAATTACATATATGCAATATCATGGCATTTCCTTAATTTATAAGGGGACATTCAAATCTCCTTTAATCTAAGCTCTATTTGTCAGAGGTCTCAGAGGCAGTTCCATTTTTATTTCACACGGTAGAAACAAAGCCGCACACAGCCGCCTCTCCACACTTTAGCCATTTATTCCAGCGTGTTAACACATGTGGGTTAACATGTGTTACCTTGTCAGCCTAGGGAAGCTGTGAGGGAGCATGGCTGCAGCTACCATCCAATCAGGAAGCCAGGCGGTCACATGATCACCTGCCAGGATCCTTGCTTCATTACTGCACCGCTGCTGGAAGAGGTAAGGGACAGTTGGAGATGGGAATACAGGATGCCTCAGGTCTGTATTTAATATACAGTATATATATATATATATATGTGTGTTAATACTTTTGTGTGCAGACTCTAATGCAATAGGCTGCATGCCTATGATTCCACCCCTTTGCTTACTTGCAACAGCTTACAGGGATTTCCCCAGCTGCAGATGATTGGGTGGCAGCGAAAGGAACTTCATTCTGGGTTCGGAGGAGCTTAGGTTTGATCTGACCCCAGTCCAAACCTATGCTCACCCCTAGCTGTGGTGCATTGTTTATTACACTCTACTGTAAGGTGTGCTGAGGTACCATTCACATATATAATATCTACTGTTGATTCTATTATTATCCTTAAATTTACCAATTAGAAAGTCACTCTCCCAGAATAAAGATGTGCATATTAAGTATATCTGACATGTACATGTTAGTTCTAGGTCAGTTAATTTCAGCCAGTAAAAGAAGGATAAGGATGACAGACATGTAAAAGGCATCTTTTAAAAAAAAAAGACAGCAATAACAGCATTAATATCTATTGTACTTCATATGAGGTGCAAACAGCCCAATATTTTTACTTGAGCACTCCCAACTACTATTTATTTATTTCTATTAATGGTATGTATGTAGCGCCAACAATTTATGCAGCACTTTACATAGTGCACATTCACATCAGTTCCTGCCCTCAAAGAGCTTACAATCTAAGTTCCCTATCTCACATGCATTCATACAGGTCAATTTGGACCGGCGCCAATTAACCTTCCAGCATGTCTTTGGAGTGTGGGAAGAAACCGGAGTACCCAGAGGAAACCCACGCAAGCGCAGGGAGAACATGCAAACTCCTTGCAGATAGTGACCTGGCTGGGATCTATGGACACTTGAGACCTGAAATTACTTAAAGCTGCAGGGGTGTCACTGAGCAAAAACGTTTCAGTTCAGATGACAAAGTCTAGAAAACGAAAACATTTCTAGCTGTCCTGTTCTGAACCAAGATTTGTCACTGCAGCAAGGATGCTCCCTGTACATACGACACCTTCGTGTACATGAAATATGACCTGCAAAGAAGGGCCGATACGGTGGTGATAGCACTTAAGGCATGCTAAAGTGGCTTCCCCAAATGCCAAGCAAGTCAAAGCAATAGGTTTTTTTTTTTTATCCCTTCCTTGCTACATTGTTAAGCCACTGTGAGGAAGGTCCTGTGTCAACTATGAGATACTGGAGTCATAGGTTACACAGGGCTGCAGAATCCCTGATCTGAGTAACCTACATGTCCTTACCCAAAAGTAACAAGTATTCACCCTCCCAGCACTGAACAAAATGGAAGAAGAGTAAAGGATAGTAACTGCTGGGTTTTGGGTATTGGAGGGGGAGGGTGTTAACGCAAACATGTTGCAAATGAACAAATCATAGGTTTGATATCACAGCATGATGAACAAGGGTCTATGACACAATCAGCAAAACAGTAAAATGTTCCTTTACCAGCACAAAATAAATAATTACTGAAAATACCCAATGACTTCCTTCTCATAAAGTGCAGTGCAGTGAAATATTGATCCATAAATTATGAGAGAGGATATAGCGGTAATAAAAAAAAATTATCATAGTAAATACCTCTCAGCAAAAGGATTTTAATTCTCAGCAAGTGAATCCTGTGTGTTCCTCTCCTAGAGGAATACAGAGATTACTTTACTGTTAATTATTGTTCACCGCAACAGAATAACGACCTGAATTAAAATGTAATCACTACGGTGAAACATCAAGCAAATCATCAAAAACAAAACTCTGATGTTTCATAATCATTAAAAATAAAACACGATTCTGTAAATGCAAAAAAACAGCATCACCCGAAGGAGCACTTAACAACATGCCAAGCTGGAACTGTAAGTTACCTATTTCATGAAAAGAGCCCCACTGTAACTAATGCAGATCAGAGGGATCCTAATATGCATGAAATGTGAAGAGCTCTCTGGTGAGCACGGCTGAAAATGATGAGTTTTTTTATCCATTTCATGTCACTAATTATTTTCTCTTCAATTTTTATTGATGTAAATTCAATTATTTTAATGAGCCAGAATTGTGTATAGGAGGTACACTTACCAGCTGATCAACTACAATTACCAGCTGTAAGGTGATAATGTTGTATTTGTGCAATTTTGCTCTTTTATACATTTTAAATGTTTGTTGCAGTTCAGAATTGAATATTCTGTATAATAAAACACATTTCAAATTAAAGCAAAACTGAACAAAGAGACGAGGATGTAGAGGAAGGGAGAATAGGACCTGCTGGGAAAGAGAAAGAGGAAAGTGAACCTCCAAGGGCAAAGCACAGGTTCCCTTTAAAGTAAACCTGTCACCAAGAAAAGAGCTCTGCAACAGTTAGACTAAAAGGGGTATTCACTAAGCTGCCGAAGGCTATTTCGGCTATTCACTTCTGGCTTGTACGGCTGATTTCAGCCGTACATCGGCTCTGTACAGCTGCCTTCGGTTAGTCGAACATACTCTGCTCTGGATGGCGGTAAAAGCACACGCATGAAAAAATTATGGGTTTTTTTTAAAAATATAACACTAAGTAGCCAATTAAGTCACTCTCCCAGAATAAAGATATATATATATATATTTGCCTGAAGTTCAGCTCAGTTTCATTGTAGTCATTTAAAGAAGAAGAACTCTGGGCAACAGCATTCTTAACTGTTCATTTTTGTCCAGGTGCTAACAAAAAAAAGCTATAGTCACCTGAACCGCTTAGCCGGCTGTCTGCTTCTCCAGTCACTGAAGCCTCCACTGCAGCATTGGAATGTTCCTCAGCTTCCTCACATCTATACAAAGAGTATAGAAAGTAATGATTTACAGGACCTTAGAATGCTGTAGAGGAAGGGGAGAGAGTCTCCAGGGACCGGTATAAGAGAAAGCCGGCTGGGATGATTAGGTGAGTATAATTTTTCATTTTTAGCAGCCAGACAAAAATTAACATTTAACCCCTGCATTGGGGGGTAGCCCCACTACAAGGGTTAAGAAAAATTCTGCCCAGAGTTCTGCTTTAATTTGTAAGATACCAAGCCCCACATTTTTCACTACCTATTAACTCAGCAATAGTAGCTCCTATTAAAATGCAAGAAAATAATTCTGTGTTTTCACTTTGAGTTTGCTTCACGGTTCACGGATTTGCTTTAAATGAGCTGTTAATAAATCATTGCTCTGAAAGGTCTTGGCATTTGTGCTGTCTAGCTGGTTTAACAGCTGGATCTTGTCTTCTGGAACTGAGAACTAACCATATTTGTCTCAATGTGCAGTAAAGAAGATGTGTGGAATTCTGACATTGTGAAACAATACTGCAGTGTTATAGCAAAGACATAACAAAGTACAAACTCATTTTACTCAGCTTAGTACTGGAACATAACGTTTTTTTTTCATCTGTGTTTGGGCTGCTGTAAAAAATGAGTAGCAGGAGAAATCAATATACACGGGCTGCTGGATGACCTAAAGGAGGGACCCACCCCTTCCCTCTCCATTTGGCTCAGTCACTCATTCATAGGTTTTAAACAAGCATGCAATGCTATGCGCTTTGCAAACTGCCATAGATTTACTATGTATAAAATGTTTGTATGCAAAGCAGTGGCTTTATATATATAACTGAGAAGAAAAGATATAGAAAAGCTTGTAAAAAAATATCAAAATGACCAGTGGATGATATATTTACTTTTAGAACCCATTGATAAGAGCACACATTTATTTATTTATTACAGGTATTTATATAGCGCTGACAATTTACGCAGCACTTTACATAGATGCACATTCACATCAGTCCCTACCCTCAAGGAGCTTACAATCTAAGGTGACTAAAAAGGTCAAAGACTGTAGGTTCCCTAACCCGACACATATTTCTCTATATAACAACAAATGCTACACATCTTGGTTTCAAAACCAAAAGCAGGTTAATAAAACATTCTTTGATTATTTTTGTTATCTTTATTTCTGAAAATCTGGAGCAGTTGCTCATGGCAACCAATCAGCTTCTATGTTTCATTTTCAAATCTTAACTGGAAAAAATTGAAGAGAGAAGCTGATTGGTCACTATAGGCAACTGCTTCAGATTCTGCTTGCTCCAGTTTTGATCAATTCCCCCCATAGTTTTTAGCACTAGAAAGCAGCCAGGGTTCATGTGTGAGCCCCAAACTGTACAAAGTTGCCTGCCATCACATTTCAGAATTAAATATATGTTGTTTTAAAGCCTTGGCTGTGCAATACAAAAACATAAATACATACCTCTAGACATGCAGAGAGCGCAAGAATGTTAAGCAGAAGCAACTGAGATTTCAGTTTACTGTAAATGGAATTTTATAGCCATATGGTCTGCGCACACTGGGGCTGATTTACTAAAGGAGAAGAACATGTGTACTTCGACTGTGAAACTTAGATTATGGGATGAAAAAAAATGAAAAATCGACTTTGCAAAAAATACTTGGAGGGTTATTCACAAAGGTGCCAAAAGGCAGCCGATTGAGTAACCCACCCCGAAGTGAGCCGAACGCTGTTCGGCTATTTACTTCAGGCTTGTACAGCTGATTTTAGCCGTACATTGGCTGAAATCAGCCATACATCGGCTGTTTAATTGCTCAGCGGGCACAGTTCATAGGCAGTTACTTTACAACAGATGTGATTCCTCACCGTTATCCAGGAAAATAAGCTTGGCTTCTGCCTCAAACGCTGACATAAATCACCCGATCAATGTACCGACTGATTGTATCAATTAATCATTGTCCTTGTATACTTTCAATCAGCGTTACACTTATGTATTAATCAAACAGTTTCTTTTTGGAGCAGTTGTTAATACTTGCCGGCTCCTCCGTGCTAGTGCAACCTAAAAGGTGCCCATACACCTGCCGATTATGGTACGATAATCGTGGGTGATCCCGCGATCGCACGATAATTGGCAGGTGTATGGAAGGCGTGCAACCGTTTCTACTGTACGGTCGCACGTCTTTTGTCTCCCGAGCAGGCTTGAAAACCCGCCGAGAATCGTACGATTCTCGGCGGGTTAGTGGCGTTCTTGGGAAGACAAATGCCGCATGGGCCGGTGTGCGCAAGCATTGGGCTTGCGATGCGATGCCTGTTCAAGATGGGCAGATTGTATGAGCTTTTAATTACTTTACAACCATCGCACTATGAAAGTCGTGCAATAGTTGTAAAGTGTATGGCCAGCTTTAGTATCAGAGGAAAATCGCATTATTGTTTTTCAGGAGTGTGTGTGTGTGGGGGGGGGGGGCCCTCCAGCATGTACGGGTATGTGTGTGAGTGTGACAACGCTGTCAATCGTTTTAAATGGTGTAGTGGTGCAATATTTTTGTAGTTGCAATCTAATAAAGCAAATCTTTGGTAAATTATACATGCCTCTGGTCTTAAGCGACTTCTCCAGCTTGTGCATTATCTATGCACAGGCAATTTGTCGGTTCATATGCTACTTGGGTACAGACTGGAGCCCGTTATTGCTATGTGGTGTAGTGAACCACTGTTTATAAATGCATATTTGAATTAGTTCCTCAATATTTTGAGTAGGTGCAACAGGGCAGACTACAGGCATGCAGAGGGAGTGGGTACATGAAGCTGAAAATGTACCTTTACATTTAAATGGCAGTGTGTAAGTGCTGCCAACCTAATTACACTGCCCAAGCTGAACTGGAGGATAAAGGTGCCCAACTTACAATTTATCTGCAGATTTTCTGTGGTCAGATGGAAAAAGTGCAACAGATTGGCCCAGGTGGAGATTACTCCATCCACACAGTTTAGTGTAGATGGAGGAATCTGTTGCACCTTTTCCATCTGACCACAGAAAATCTGCAGATAAATTGTAAGGTGTATGGCCAGCTTAACAAAGGTGCACCTGAGTAGATTGCTATTGAATGAGCAAGTAGTTACTATATTTATAAATTAAGTTTTTGGGATGGGATACACCATAGAATGAATTCTTGGTTACCACACAATGTTCTTTGCCTCATTAATTAAAAGTAGTATTCACTATTTAAACCTTTTTCAATAGTGAATTCAGACCAACTAAATATATATTGGTCAGCAAAGTATTTTTTTTTACATTTTTGCCCAAGCACTTACAGTCATCATGTTTCCAAACAGCCAGCTCCAACTCTCTCAGTTCAGCTTCCCTGAACTTCCTGTCCAGTACAACATCACAAGGGACAGAGCAGTCTCCAGCAGCTGTCCATCTACTAGCTTGCAAAGGAAGAAAAGTGGATGGAAGAGAAAGGAGCAGAGGAGAGGCTTGCTTTGCTGAGCCTGTGTGGTTGTGGAGACACACACAGCTTACTAGCACACACAAGGGTGGCTCTATAGAACCCTGCAGGGGAAAGGAGCCACCCTCAAAAAGGAAATCAGGGCCAGTGCTCAGGGGACCAGCTGATTCTGCAGGAAAATAAAACTTTTAAACATCAAGGAGCAGCTTTCATTGTAACTGATTTAATGAGCTTTTGATATAGTCTACAAATCTTATGACATCACTTTTGATATCACTTTAATCTCCTAGAGTAAATGGTAACAGTTAATACTTGTGACTAGCTGGATCTTGCTCAGGAATATGTCTATACAATGAAATTATGCCTATATAATGAACTATACATTCAAAGCTATATTAGTATAGAATGCAAAAACATATTTTTACATGGAAAAATAATTAAACCCAGCAGATATTTTTTTTGCAGAAACATCAATATTAACTTTTTTGGTAGCTGCGGATTTGTTGTGCAAACCTGTCAAATTTCAAATAAATACATGCTGACCAAAACAATCTGTTGATGGCTGAGTGAAACGCTTGGAAGGCCATGAAAGATCATTTTCCCTATAATCAGACTATATCATGCTGCAACAGATACTCAGTTTTCTGTACGATTCAGCTGATTTAGGAAACCCCAAGTTAAATACTAAATGCCGCAATCTATACTGTTTACAGACACTAAAAAAGAACTTGGAAACAAAATGTTGTTACACTTCTTTCTCTTTGGAAAGATGAAAACCATCCTGTACTTGTTCTGTCTTACCTCTGAACTCTGATGTTTTCTATGCTCTGTCAGCTCAGTGAAAAACAATCCCAAAATCAATATGTTAACATGTTCCAGCTGCTACGACAGTGCAGAGCTGCTGACCGTGCCAAGGTGGTATTCATTATAAGGGGATCTTGAGTTCTGCACAAAGTTTTAAACCTCATACTCCTGCTTTGTTTTAAAGGGTTGTGACTGTGAGTCATAAGAGAAGGCTGAGATTCATCGACCTAGGGCTCTGGGAGGTGTAGTCTGGAGCCACACTTAGTATAAAACCGATGATGGGAAGGAGGGGAGTGGTGCAAATCACAAGAGTAAGACACTGTGTAACTGACCTTTTCTGAAAATCTCTAGCCAAGCTAACACAGAATGCAAGCTGTTTATGGTTCGTCCATGCTTTCTGCTTTATTAAACAGTAACTCCACTTTAGGAAAGATAAATATGAAAAATTCTTAAAAATAAATATAGCATATACTGTATAATTGTGGCACAAGCCATTTTGCAATTTAATGTTATTAAAAATGACCTTTTCATTCAAAATTGTAGCCGATGTAATGTTCTAAATCTGTCAAAAGAAATGTAATGGAATATGGCGACCTGGAGAAATACTGTACACAGTGTACAGAACTCCCTCAAGGTGGCCATACACTCTACAACCATCGCAAGACCATAGTCTTGCGATGGTTGTACAGGGATTAAAAAAACGTACGATCTGCCTATCTTGGACAGGCAGATCGCACTCTCGATCATCGCAAGCCCGCCCCCCTGAGGGGCGGGCTTCCGATGAC